TGATGCACATACTCAGTCTCCTGGCTGTGAAGACACCCCCCATCTGTCAAGAGTGGCAGGATGCCCATTCTGAGCTAGTCTGATTTTTCTGCTCTGCATTAACATTCTAAAAGTTATAGGTGAAATAGACAGCTTAAAGATTATCAGCTTCCATCATATTTGGAAAAGAATTATACAACTATGAAATATTAACTATTTTTAAAGAGATAAAGTCTAAACTGGATATAACACGTATATCCAGTTTGCTTAGCAATTTCCATTGCTAAGCAAGACAGTTGTTAAGTGAGTTTTGCCCCATTTTATGACCTTTCTTGCCAAGTTGTTAGTAACATGGTTGTTAAGTAAATCTGGCTTTCCCATTGACTGCTTGTCAGAAGATTGCAAAAAGGTGATCACATGACCCCAGGACACTGCAACCGTCATAAATACATGCCAGTTGCCAAGTGTCCAAATGATCATGTGACCATGGAGATGCTGCAATGATTGTAAGTATGAAAAACAGGCATAAGTCACATTTTTCAGTGCCATTGTAAATTTGGTCACTAAGTAAATGGTGGATTACCTGTAACAAAATTGTTATAGGTTGGGGTTTTTTTAAATTCAAATTAAATAGCCTCCAAGATGTCAAGGATTATCTGTCTTTTCCAACTAATCAGCTGTTTTATTCCTAGCTTCTTTCTCCTATGCATGTAGTCCTTGACTAACGACTGGTCACTTAGTGACTGTTTGAAATTATGATGGACCTCCTTTCCCAAAGCAATTTACAATCTTATTCCTAAGTTATAATACCTGAGCCTCCCCCATGCAGTCAGGTGACCATATTTTGGGCACTCCGCAATCACACATTTACAGTCATTTGCAGCTCCCTGGGGTCACATGACCGCAGTTTACAATAGTTTTGCTGGAAACCTGCATTTACTTCTAGTTTACAGGAAGAAACAATAGAAAACAATGCATTTGCTTAATGACTGTCATGTTCATACAGCAAAAAAGGCCATACAATTGAGTACAGTTGTAATGCTGAGAAAGCTGGTTTTTCAAGATATATCAGCTACACAAATTCTACCAAGCCCTTGCAGACAATCCTCAAAGCTTACTCAACCCAGACTTTCCATCTTCTGTCATCTGCCTGCTGTTTTGAGATGAATCCTAGAAAAGTCTTTGTTTTCAATGTTTTGGATATTTTATTTACAGTTTATATAATTTGCAAGCCATCTGGAACATCATCCTGAAAATGTGAGAATATGAATAACTGGAATTGATTTCTATAACCTTAATTTGAATCGTATCAAAGGGCTGTCTTTCAGCAGTGGTTCTGTACTGTTTCACTCAAAAATCTTACCAGCAAATAAATATCCTTGCATCTGAGGTTCCTAAATATTGCACAGCCATGCAGAATCTTTCTTGGGGCTCCCCGATGTCTGTGTTATGTTGTTGTTTATAAATTACCACAGGAATCACCAGCTGTCATCATAAAATTTTTATTGGCACTCTGTAAATATTAAATCAGCAGGCTAAAATCATGCCATGTGCCTGAGCAGCTGATGCTCTCTTGTGGATGCAGCCAACCAGACAAGAGGATACACGGTGTTGTCTACAAGCCTGATTCTTCATGAGAAATTCTGGCAGGGTCACCCTCTAAGCATCATCTTGAACCAGAAGCTGCACCTTTCCTTCGCATCCATCACAAATGTTTTAAGATTAACAGCAATGGATTACCTTGGCTAAATATATGAGCTTCCTACTCCAGAGATGAGAACCGAATCTCATTTTCAACATTAAATGAGTGGAAAAGGCACAGATCTACACCCTCATACTTTAAAACACACACACACACCGATGGTGCTTCAGCTTACATTTTGTTCCTCTGAATTTAGAATAAACTACCTTTGAACAGCCCAACAGTAGTGTTTAAGCCTCCTTGAAAGGCCTAGTTTGTACTCCGAATAGTAAGATGATAACTTATAGTAAGATGATAACTTAATTATACCACTGCAATTTGTAGGTAGGTAGGGCTCATTGATACAAATGGAATATTGCATGTACTGTAGGTAAAACAAACACACACATAAGGGAAAACAAGTTCTATCTTAAATTTCTTCCTGCTGGTTTTCATTGCTTTCAGGACCCGTTTAATGAAAAAAAAAGCATTGTGCTACATGGTCTCACAATCTCTAGCAATATAGGCTTGATACAGGTTTACCAGTTTGGAGAGCAAGCCTGGGTTATTAGGTAATAAGATGTATGAGAAATACAAACCTTCACAAAGGATAATATATCTATGTACTCATTCACTCATTCATTCAACGAAAACTACTAGCTGTGAATTGGCTAGCTTCTTATATACTGTACGAAGTTTGACAGCAAGTATTTTAGCATCTTTATTTTACTTCTACCTGGGATTTGTGCAACAGAAAGTGAACATAATGCTCACCTCTCCTATTTTCCTCATGACAACTATGTGGGGCTGAGCTGTGAGGAAATAACTAAGCCAACGTCATCCAGTTGGTTTTCACATCTAAACAAGGACTACAACTCATGATTTCGTGGTCTCTAGTTCAGCACCTTAACTCCTACACTAAACTGGGTGTTATTTTATATTGCAGTTGTATGACAGTACATGTCTATTTAGAAATGAATTCTGTTTATTTAAAGATGAAGTACTTTGAAGAAGGTATCTATAGGACCATGGTCAAGCTATAATTCAATTCCTAACACTTGAGCTAGTAAGGGTTACTTCTGAGTACACACACACATATATGAATAACTTACAACTAATAAAGGGACTAAAGCATAAAATGAATAGTTTGACACAAAAAAAAGCATGTTCACATCACACATGAAATCCTCACCAATTAACCCAATTCAATGTGGACTTTAAATATTAGGTAAATATTTTAGCTTTTGATCTTACACCAACAGCCTACGTAATTGTCCTGGATGCTAGAAACTGATCTTCCATTGTATGGAGTATTTTGTAACCATTGGTAGCCCATTCTTATTTTCTTACAAGAATGTGTTTTAGCCTTTATTAACATTTCAGATATTTTAAATATTGCTCACAGTATTTTCAAGTTTTTGCATCTCCCTCCCTCCCTAAAATCTGTGCTAACAATAAATATGCAATCCTTTGTTAATTGTTAGAGGCATTACTGAGATATTTGTGATCCAGAACAGCTATTTATGTTAATTAACCTGATTTTTAAAACAGAAAAAAAGTACTCTGGAGACTGACAATTACTTATACTTAAGTAAGGTAAGTATAGCAATAACTGTTAATTACTTCTCCTCCAGCAGGAAATACCTTTGAAAATCCAGAATATTTAAACTGAATTTTAAAAACTCAAAATACATAAGCTACTTTTGAGAACAGCCCGTGTCCTATGTACAATGAAATGTGATTGTACGGAAACCCTGGGCGGCAATCTCTTGCCTTTCCTTTGGGGGGGGGTTGGGTTGTTAGCACCTGGGCACAACTTGCTCTGAATATGGGAGTTGACTCTTAAAATCAGATCCAATTAACACATCCTTGATATAACAGAATACAGTGTTAATTACATGCAGCTGATCATTGCTGGGTTAATTAAACACTCACCCCCCCAGCTAAGGCATTAATCTAATTAACAATTACTACAGCTGCTGTTTTCTCTTTACACTTGCTTTCTAAATGGTGCATATTCACACTTCAGTCCTAATCCAGCAAATTCTTCCTCTAAAGAATTCCCTTTGAGGTGGATGGCAGAAAGAGGTTAGAAATTGTGGTCAGTACTCAGAGAACTGAATACCTGAGAAATAATTTGATATTCTTGAACATGTATGGTGTTTGCTAAAGACCAAACTAAAATATGTTTATATTTTCTTATTTGATATACCCCTTTAACTGTTGAAGTTTGAACATTGTAGCAATTTTATAGTACTCCTTAAGAAGTATCAGCAGCAACCTTAGAACTGGAATTGATGTACAGCAATACTGTAGAGTTTTGTGCTCAAAGTTCTACTGAACTAAATAGTGGTATAGGTGAATATATACATGTGAATATATGGGGGAAAAGATTTAAAGTTTAATTGTACACATCAACTATTAGAAAGGAATTGATGGAAATTAAAATTCTAATAGGTCTTGAGTTCCAATATATTTAATACTATTGAGAGTTGGGCAGCATATAAATTTAATAATTATATCATACTTTCTTTTGGTTATAATACCACCACATACTAGAATATTGTCATTGTGTTTGTTTTTTGTTTTAAATGAGCTGTTCAGATCTCTAATCGACTTGATGTCACATTTGGAACCATCAATGCTGGGCTACAAAATATGGAAGTCTGCAGCCCAAAGGATTTTTTTTTTTTGCCTCTTTGAAATTCAAATATGAGGCAGCATACACAAAGATGGAGAGGTAAAGGCAATTTAAGCTTTATAGGACATACTGTACTGCTTATGGCATCCCTATTTCCCTATTATAGCAAAAATGCAGGTGAGGATATATCCAAAAAGCTTCAAAAATGAGAAAGGCACATGGTTTAGTGAAACTGATTTTGAAAAATAAATGTTGAGCCTTGAAGCTAAACATGTTTTGCATACTTTGTAAGAGATCACTAATTTCAGTCCATAAATTGGAAAACATTTTTATTCAAAGTATATAAGGCAGGCCGTAATTCCAGTTTTATTGTGGATGATAAACAGAGTACTCACATTACACATTTAATCCTATGACGCAGAAGCAATATACTACTCAATGTTCACTCCAATAGGTCTACTATTACTGACCTGTCTTGTGTTCCACATTTATCAGAATCATACTTTTGTTTTAAAATATACATAAAACACATACCCAAATGTACCCCTAAAAAAAAGATGAAGCCTATTAAAATTATTGTTGCTAATGGACATCTCAAGCTGCAATTATGTTTGGAGTGTGCTGTTTCCTATAAGCTACAACAGTCTTTATCAAGGCAGATTCAAACTATTACAAAAGGATTTATCAGCATTCTTGGCTCTGAGCAAGTATAGATTCAATTGAAAGTCAAGTTATTTCAGATGGTTCATATGTGCTAAGGCTCATTCGAATGCAGGGCTGGGTGTAGAAACCCTGCTTCCATTTCTTCTGTATTCTGAACTTCACACCTGCATTCTTCAATGATCATAACCCTCTTGGTTACCGGGTTAACCATGGTGCAGTTCATCTTCAGTTGCTTCATGGAGAATTTGGTGGGCAAGCAGTGGGAACAAAAGCTATAAATGCGATCATCAGCACCAGGAACGTGGAAAGAACTGCATTTCCCAAAGCACAGGTTGTTTTGTATCACCACTTTGTCACAATTTTCATGTGTAACGCTCTGAAAAGAAACACACTGTTATTAAAACAATTGCCATAGTACTATGTTAGACTAAGATAGCCAGATATATAAAAACTAATGTGTCCCTGCAACCTTTAGGTGCAAGCCTGTAATATTGTTTGAGAAGTGTTTTAGATACTAACAAATCGCAACTTTACTGCCTTAACCATCATTAGAAATGCAGAAAGATTTAAAGGGGAAATCTGTTTGCCGGCTCTTTGAAATATAGAGATTTCTACAAATTACTCAAGGTTATTGCCTAAGAATTCCCTGAAAATTTTCCCCAGCAGAATGTGAGTCAAACACCCATTTTCAGCTTTTTGCAATTTCAGTAGAACAAACCTGAAGTCTACTCTAGCAGAAATTTCCAGCCCAAAGTTATCAATATTCTGGTTTTTTTAATACACTTGTTAATATTTCAAATATCAGACAATTTCCAAGAACACCAGCAAACCACTTTTTAAACTGCAATTAAACTCCAAAGTTTTGGCTGCAAAAATCCATTTGCTATCAGATACCAACAAATATATATTTTAAAAATCCACATTTTTTTTCACATAGGGGCTGTGTAAATTTTTACAGCCCTTATTTTAGCTTTTCTTCTATAAATTGGGGAAAATAGCTTATCTTGCAGGGCTATTCTAAGCTTGAACTCTTGAGCAGTATAGCAGGGCCCGTTTCTAATTAAAATGTAGGAAAGTATTATATTTGTGACATTTACCTGAGAGAAAGGAAGCATGTTGCAAACCTCCTGGTAAATCTCACTTATCTTGATTGGAAGGATCACCTCTTCAGATCTTGACTTGGTCTTCAATTTAAAAAGGTCCCAGAATTTTTTGGCATCTTTTCTGAAGGCTGCTGCTGCGTCTCTCTTAGTCTGTGGGTGAGAAGGTGGATGTTTTGGATACACAGAGGATGGGGTTATGTTTGCAGAAGCCCAGCCTCCCAAATCATCAGCCACTTCTTGCTTAACTGTATCTGGGGAAATAAAATGAGGTCCTTGTGGCAAGTCTTGTTGTTTGATTTTCATTTCTGCCAATGATACCACTGGCCCCTCAGGTTTCCTCACAATTCTTTCAAATCCCCCTAAATACTTAGTGAGCATATGTAGGGAGTTTTTCTGTTGCATTTCTTCTCTTTGCTCTGCTTTTCCAAGCCATGAAACCAACAATATCTGAAACAATAGTAAAAACATTGTTGTTGCCTTTCTCCTTCAATTCCCTTCTGTTTAAAAAAAAAGGCAGCAGGAAGATTGTTGTATTTATAAAGGAAGCCTAAAATACTCGTTTTCAGCTGTTGAGTAGGGGAGGGGGGAAGAGACAGAGGGGAAGGCTAATCAGTGACACCCATTAACATTCATTAACTACAGCCTCTAACAATGATAAAGTTAACCTGTCCTGCTGTGTATGTGTATTTCTAGTTACATCTGTTTTCTCTAGTAAGAGTCATTTTGAATTTTTTGAATTAGAAGTTTAGTTGTTGTCTAAGTATTGGGGGAAATTCCTAGATATTAATTTAGGTAATGCATTTGGTCCCAAGTCACCATAGGGCATTAAGGATTCAATACCATAACATGGAGAATGCTATATTTGTAGGTACACATTACAGCTTTGAATTAAATTTCATGTCTTAGTAAGATTAAAGTTTATCATTTGAAAATAACAGCTGGATTATATCTGGTCAGGTTATATGCCATTTTGAATGGATCTAACTAGATTTTTTTTTTAAAAAAAAATTACAGAATGTAAAAACTAATAGAGGATGTACCTTTTGAAAAATGCAAATATTAAATAAAATAATGAGTCAGTTTCTCACTACTCAGATGATTAAAACACTTAGGATTTTGGAAATGTTCTAGTTCAACCTGTACTTATTGCAAGACTCTTTAATATGTAGTTCTTTTAAAGCAGTGTTTCTCAACCTTGACAATTTTAAAGCATGTGGACTTCAACTCCCAGAATTCCACAGCCAGCATTGCTGGCTGTGGAATTCTGGGAGTTGAAGTCCACATGCCTTAAAATTGTCAAGGTTGAGAAACACTGTTTTAAAGTCTTACAATAGGTAACAAAAATTGGGAAAATATTAGTCCATGCAGGTCCCCAGAGTGTAGACTTTAAGTATTGTCTTCCTTCTGATAAGTAGGTATTATTCTCAACTTTGTTTGCATATGAACTGTTTGTAAATCATGGATAACGCCCCCCAAAATGTTCCCATTGGTTTGGGTCAACCATCTTGCACTGTGTTTAAAAGGGAAAGATCCATGTCAACTCTTGGTATTATACTTGGTACTACTACTATGGCACTCCATGTGTACCATAGTTGTAGTAATTCATTTTATCCATTTTTGTAGAAATGGATTTGCCATGAAGGTTCTGTAAAATAAAATCCGAGTATTCATATTCCATCTTTTCTAGAAAGCCAAAGTTAACAACTGGACATGTATAATAGGAAAGTTAACTATCTGGCAGGTGTGCCTTTCAAATCTCACTTACAGTTTATAAGTGAAAAGAGCACTGATAAAAGTATCTTACTCATGCTGCATCAACAGCATCCAGAATGTTTATAGACCTCAATGCAGTGGTGGGATTCAGCCAGTTCGCACCAGTTTGGCAGAACCGGTAGCTAATTTTTTTGTTGTCCAGGCCCAGAATGGACTTCCGGAAGCGGCATCCATACAGAGAACCGGTTGTTCACATATTTGAATCCCACCACTGCCTCAATGGTGTCTTCATATATGAACTTTCAATGATTGTTTGGCTGTAAGTTATTGCTGTTCAAGCTGAAATCACAACCTCACCAGAAAGGATTGGATCCTATGTCTTTCCATATTATGGTGTAATTTTTAATAATTTCATAATTCTTCTCAACTTAAAACACTAAAAACAGCATTGGCCATCAGTCCCCTAGTTGCTTGACCTATAACCTACGTCTTTAAAAAATAAATGCATCATGTTCTATAATGGCAAGTAAAAAACATAACTGCTTTTTCTAAAAGTGGGAAGGTCAGTTTCCATCTGAGACACCACATGGTTTTAACAAGCTAAAAAAAAGTCACTTTAAATGCTTCATTTTATTATGATATATATTTTTCAACAGCTGGATGCAAGAAGAGATCGCCTCCATTCTCATGGACACATAAAACACACAGGGATGAAAACAGAGATAATAACAATCTTGGTAAGCAGTGAGTTCAAAGAAAGCTATTGCATTGTTTTATGAGGCTGTCTCAGTCCTTGTTATAGATTTCAATCTGGATATTTAAGTTGCTGCAACTGGTTCTGCTGGATGTGGACTGAAATGAATAAACATCCTTGGGAGACATAAACCAACATAATATATACATTTGCATAGTTGTTGTTTTCTTTGTTGAATAGCCATCCTGAGAGGGAGGAGACTGACCTGCATTGAGACTCTGGATGCAAAGGATGAAGAGTTTTACAAATGTTGCTACTCTCATCCCTACAAAAAAACCTATCCTAGAAGGCTTACTGCTCTGTCACTCAAGAGAGCCTCTGTCCCATTGCAAGGAGATGGTGTAATGGTTGAAGAGACTGTTTTTCTTGTCTTCAGAATTAAAGAGGTAAATAAGTTCCCTTGTAGCCCAAAACAATCAAGCAGCAAAACAAAAAGAGAGACTTGCACTGCCCCAGAAAGGAAGCATTTTCAGGATTCTGGAAGAAAAAGCATTCTTGTAAACTTAAGGCAGAGAACTCCTCTGTTGGTTCTCTCTTGTAAATATGTTGGGACTGATTTACAGAAGAAAAATGGTAATGACTTGAAATGTCCTCTGTCTTCTTTCTTCTCATTCCTCCCCACTTGCGCCCCCCCACGCTTCCTTCTCTCCTTTTTTTTTTAAACAAACAGAACAACTCTATGCAATTGTTTGGGTCACTGAATATGGCAATCGTGCACCTGGACAATCAATGCTGCTAAAGCCACATGGTGTGTGTGTGTGTAATGTGTGTGGGAGGAGACCAGGCAAAGATAGGAGCAATGATGCCTATGTTGCAAATTGCCTCCCCCCCCCCTTTCTATGGGTAGCTTGAGGTTTTGATGCAATATATTTTGATCAATTATCACAGCACCAAGTTTTTTCTGGAAAATTGATTATACATTCTCAGCAATCTCCAATGCTATTTTTATTAATACATTGTATTTAGATATTACAGTAGAAAACAGCACATAATGCATGCCATTTAAGGTACAAAAGTAGATCGGCATCCTTTAAGTTCAAATAAAACTAAACCTACAGCAGTAAAGGTATTATTTTATCTAGATTCATTCTATCTCTCCAAATACACATTGCACAGGAAAAAAAATCTATTTTCAGTGCCATTAAAAAGGGAAAGGGGAACTATGTGCCCATAAAGGATCAGTATACTTATAAATATTTTCACCTATTTATCAATATGGAATAATGGAAGGTAAAACGTGACTTTGAAAAATAACATTATTTTTCCAACAAGCAGTCTCAGATTTACATACAAGTGTGTATTAGGAGATTATTGGCGTGTCAAAGTGAACTGCAGTGAGTTTTTAAAAATTGTTTTTGTTAGTATATCTCTTTTTCCCCTTTCAGAATTTGTCAAAATATTTATTCAATTGCAGGCTTTTATAATAACTCAAATAGATTACCCAGTGTATTTTGCACATTCCAGTCTGTACGAATTTCACATATATTCTTCCTATATATTTTTTGTGTGCAAGTGGATTTTGTTTTCAAATTCTACCTCCCATTTGCGGTACAATTCTTCCCAGCAAGCATTCACACAAGAGGATTGGGAAATGTGTATAAATTCTCAGGTTTGTCTGGCCCAGTCTAGCACCTTCAAAAGGTGTTGGACTGCAACATCCAGAATTCCTGTCTAGGTTGGTTGTAGTCTCAACACATCACAAAGTCGCAAAAAGTTGAATGGACATTCAGAATGTCTCCAATGTTAATGGAGGGAAGGAAAGAAAATTATCAAAGAGAGGCCAGAGAAATTTACATGCAAACAAAGCTTAGAGCTTATCAGGGATGATAGCAAAAGTTAAAATGCTTCTGTTGGGAAATCAGCTAGCAATGATGGCTAGGGAAATCCTATAATGCTTCAGAATTTATATTCATAACTCATAGTCAATTTTGAAGGGAACACATTTGAATTTGTTACCATGAGAATTGGAAAGTTCACTTGACATTTAGCAATAGCACTTAGACTTGTATTCCACAGTGCTTTACAGCACTTCCTGAGTGATTTACAAATGTCAGCATGTTGCCCTCAACCATCTGGATCCTCATTTTATCGAGCTTGGAAAGATGGAAGGCTGAGTCAACCTTGAGCTGGTCAGGAACAAACTCCTGGTTGTGGGCAGAGTTCACCCGCAATACTGCATTCTAACCACTGCGCCACAACGGCTCCTACATTTGCCCCAAATATAGACATATAGAAATTTATCACAGAATAACGTAATGCAATTTTGTTAAGGGAATGTTTGACATTTGTTGGAAGTTTACATCCGGATATATTATAAAATGGGCACGAGCATTATGGAGTGGCACTGTGTTCACTTTTTTGCTCAGTGTATCTGCAAGCAGCTTCCTTTGACCAAGCGCAGAGCAGGATTTTGTCTGAATTCCTAAATAACTGTAACAGTTGTGGGGGATGAAATGTCTTATCCGAGAAAGATGGTGAATAGCATATGATATAACGTCTATGCTCAATTCAGAGCTTTTTCCAATTAACCTTTTAGCCTCTTCATATACAGGATCTCTCGAAAGAGACAGAAATGAGTTCTGGAACTAATGAATTTGATTCTTGACACATAGCCATTGTATCACAAACCACGGGAGAGCAAGAGCAGATAGGACGGCAAGCAGGAAAAAAAATTTCTGCATCTCATTTGAACCCTTTTCTCAAGTAGGGATTTTTTTCAAATAGGGCCAAGCAACTGCCTATTTATAAGTTCCATCAACACTTCCAACTGACTGAAAATAAAAGTTTTACCGTATAGAAAACCAAGTAAGGGGTCTAGCTATCCGTTTTGTTTACAGTTTTGTGGAACACATGTAACTGTACGCTTTGCCCTTCCTGCACTCTTTTCTTTGCCATTTTCCTTGCTGTTGTACTAAAATGCAGTTCCTCCTTTGCTTTGAAAGACGAGGCAGGCCTCTTCTCCAGTTTGTGAAGGCAACACGTTCCCTGTTGATCCATTCCA